GTTACCCTATGCCTCTTCCTAACCCAAGGACCTCGAAAATCTTTTTTTTAACCACCGCCTGTTCGCCCAGATAAACGGCATGGTTGGTTGCCTACGATCCAGGATCACCGGGAGTTATTCTGATCGGTGATTTTCTAAGATTAGTACAAAAATTGTAATTGTAATTGCTATTTTATAAGAAACTTTGTTTAATGCTTTGTACTTGCCGGGTACTTCAACTCGGAAAATAGAACCGGAGGAAGAAGATACCAGTTTCGCCCGTATAAGCTGCACATTTCTCAAACTTTGCGTCCGGGCCATTATTATCGCAGGGTCACGTTTTATAGGTGGTTTATTCGTAAGAATATTGAAAATAACAGTTTTCCCAGTCGATTATTATGGACAGACGAGTCTTATTTTTCCAATTGCGGAGTGTGGTATTGGTATAATGAACACTCCTGGTCACAGGAAAACCCGCATGTTGTAGTTCCACGCCGAAACCAAGTAAGATTCGGAATTAATGTTTTATGTGGGATAATGGGAAGTCATTTAATTGGACTGGTATTCTTCGATGGAACTTTAACGGCTCACCGTTATTTAAGGATTTTCCAAATTTCCTTAGAGGATTTTCTGGACAATGTATGTTTGGCAGAGAGAATTTGATTATAGTTCCAAGAAGATGGCTACCGTGGTGGATTATTGAAGTCATCGGTTAGGCAATAATGTTGTTGCCACTAAATACTACTGTTCGATGGCCAGCTAGATCAGCTGATCTAACACCTTTGAACTTTTTGTATGGCGTACATTAAAGAATAAAGTGTATAGAAGTAGCCACAGCTATAATTGTAAGCTAAAAAATTATTATGGTAATTTTTTATTACCTGGGCACCATTTAGTTCAAACCTCAACTTTATAACACTTGCTTCTTCATACTTGCAAGAACTTCATCTTTCACAGTTGAAATTTCTTCAATAAACTGCACCTTCTGCACTTGACCGACATGACCACTATTCAGTGAATTTTCTCCCTTTTGAATAGTACGCTTTTCCTCAAAATATGTTAAAATAGTTGCGATTGACAGAATTGGCTTGCGAGACATCTAAACAATATCATCAACAAAACATATTTCATTTCATTCTCTTACCTTTGTAACGAACAAGATAGTCGGATGTTGGGAGAGGGGTTAGGTATAAAATTATGGATGAATAAAGCCGTGCACTAAGCCACTACAAAACGTAAAAAAAGAAAATATTTCACGAGTAAAAGTAACATGCAATTATAGAAAATTATTAAGAACTATTAATGCCTATATCGTAAACCAACATATATATATATATATATATATATATATATATAAAATATAAATATGGTAGACAATTTTTCATTTTTAATTATAACACAATTAATGGGTTTTATTTAAACGCTTGTTGCTCTGTTCAAAAGTTAAGTAATCAGTGTTTCGATATAAAAGGGTCGAATTTAATTCGCATAAGGTCAGTATAAGCCCATAAAGGTGACCTATTTAAAAGTGATGCTTAATGCATAGGGCGATAGGTTTCAATATCTTCGACAGTAAAACAGCCAAATCCTGCAATTCGAATTTCGCGGTCGATTATGACGTAACCACTAATAGACCCTATTGGAAATATAAACTTTTTCTTTAGTTGAATACACCATACACGAACGAAAAGTAGAAGCGATTAATATTGAAATAATTAATATGAGAGGCAGATCTTCATTATTTTGTTGTAGGTAGTTATTAGCGCATTTTTTAAGAATTTAAAAAATGTGCTATTGTTTCCGGATCCACGGAGTGGAACTAGTTTTATCCTTCATGGTACTCTAATGAGGTCTCAACGAAAGGAATTAATTTCTACCAACTATAGCCCTCCCCGTCGACCTCTTATCGTGATCGGGTATACTCCCTTATACCTCAAAAACGGATTGTCGGAAGAGAGTACTCACAAAGGACCGATTGAGACGTCTCAAAGAAATATATCCATTGGTGATGTCACAACCAAAGCTATTTCGGTTAAAAAAATGCGCTTTATCAGCACAAGAGTTGTGCACAATTTATACTTGTTCTTTTTTGGAACAGTCTTATACCGGGGTCGGTTAAGTTGGCCCCCCCCCCCATTAAACATTTCGTTATGATATTACCATGTAATAATGCGCTCGATATGCGCTCAAACGCGCCGCTGAAAGTAATTTTTGCGCTGTTAAAGTTTTTGAGATATTTTGAAAAACATTTGGGGGGGTTCAAGTTCAAGCAGCCCCCCCCCCATTATGCAATTTGGTATATCTGATGATTCCAAATTGTGCCTGTAGTTATGCGCTAAACTGCGCCACTGGATTAACATTTTGCGCCACTACCGTATGACCATAACGAAAGACAGAAGGTGGGTGGGGCTAAATTGATGGTTTTAAAAAAGTGCACTTTCTTAAACATTCTTAGTGCTATATGTTCCCTTTAGTTATGCGCTCAAATGCGCCGCTGAAAGTAACTTTTGCGCTGTTATAGTTTTTGAGATATTTTGAAAAACATTTGGGAGGGTTCAAGTTCACGCAGCCCCCCCATTAAGCAATTCGGTATTACTGGTGATGCCAACTTATGCCTGTAGTTATGCGCTAAACTGCGCCACTGGATTAACATTTTGCGCCACTACCGTATGGCCATAACGAAAGACAGAAGGTGGGTGGGGCTAAATTGATGGTTTTAAAAAAGTGCACTTTTTTAAACATTCTTAGTGCTATACGTTCCCTTTAGTTATGCGCTCAAATGCGCCACTGAAACTAACTTTTGCGCTGTTATAGTTTTTGAGATATTTTGAAATATGTGTCTATTATAGTTACCAACCCTTAATTTTTTGTTCTGCGAGAAATTCAAAATGTCATCACTCATCAGCATTAATAAATCGCGCGGGATTGTAATTAGTATGCACTTTAACCTGATTGATTATTTGAAAGTACGGTTGATGGAGATCATTATATGTAGGTACATATATTATTCGCGAAAATAATCGATATCACAAAATGTCTGAGGTATCTGAAATCAGTAGTTTGTTAAAAATTGTGATTAAGATATTCACGCATAAAAGAAAAAAAATGATATTTTTATTTTAACATTTGGTACATGAAAATACAAATCAAGAAGTGTAGAGAAACATTACAATTCTCACTTCCTTTGTGGGTGAAATATTTTCTTTTTTGTTTTTTAAGTCATTATATTCTTCCCACATATTATTGTGTCGTTTGCAATAAGCGACAAAATGACCTAAGCCTAAACCTTCCATATGTCCAGTATATCCAATGACTGCCCTTAGTAAGTATGTGGTAGTACCACATGTAAAGTGATGTGGAACGTCACTTAATTTAAATAATCTTTCCATTTGCATGGTATCAAGGGACACAGGCTGTATAAATAAATGAGGGCCGCATATAGTTAAAGTTTTTTGTAACTTGGTGCCACACAATCTACCATTATTGCGTGCAGTGCACTTCCTATTTGTGGATATATCTCCTATTTGGTTTAATATATCATTTTCAAAGTTGCATTCGTTATTACTGTTTACTGCTAAAAATGTGCCTTTTTGTGATATAACAAATTTGCATTGCAGTAGTATAGTATAGCCGGTTCAAAATCAATGTCACTGGAAGGTCAAACGTAGACGTGGGTTTGAAACTCTGCTAAATAAATGTCACTGGCAAGTCAAACGTAGACGTGGGTTTGAAACTCTGCTAAATCAATGTCACTGAAGATGAAACGTGGACGTGGGTTTGAAACTCTGCTAAAATCAATGTCACTGAAGGTGAAACGTGGACGTGGGTTTGAAACTGCTAAAATCAATGTCACTGAAAGGTCAAACGTAGACGGCGGTTCTTGCCTGAACTAAAGTGGTTATGAGCTAACGTCAAGGTCAAATGGTTCTGAACTTGGGTCAAGCAGGACCTTGAGTCGTTGCCTCGTAGGTAACAGGTCGATTGTGAAAACTAAAGTGGTTCTGAACTATGCTCATTGAAGGTTGTAACTCGATCGTGGTTTATTTCTTGGGTAATGGTGCGTATAAAGGGTTTAGCAGAGCACCGTAGAAGTCATATTCATAAAGAATAGGTACCAGTAAGGATGTCAAAAGTAAATAGGATAACTGCGAAAGTGAGCAGACAGAGACAAGGAATAGACGATTTACTAAGAAAAATTAAAAAGTTGAAGTGGGATTTAGAAGTGCTAGATGTACAGCGAAAATTGAATAAAATACAACTAAAGCCAAGAAGTCCAACGCGCAATACAGGAGAATGCCGAAAAAATTAAGTGTGTTCAAGCTAATAAGCAAGAATTATGAATTACGACGCGTCGCTTAAATGAACCTAAATGTACCTACTTGACGTACTTATTGATAGAGGAAAATAAAGATTTGTATACATTGTATTTCTTATTTTACTTGACAAGTGAACTGGTCCATTTACCCTAGCAAATAATAAAAATATTAAATACAAAGGCCAGTTTCTTATGCATTCGAATGCAAATCATAATTTCTAATTGATTATGTGTTCGATTGATCGATTATAAAATTTTATACCAAAAACCTTTAATATAAATGACATCCTAATTAATCATGTAGGTGAGGCGTACATTTAAATAGACATAAAACGCAAATAATAGGCATTTTACGCTCAATGGGAATTATTAATTTTAGCTCTAGGAACTTCTCGTAAAGCAAAATGAATAAAACGCGCATCTACTGCACTTCCAATGGTGCGCATTAATTTGCATCTACAACTAATTAGCTATTCTTAAAACGTCGAATTACCTACGAATGCAATGTTTTTGGCACTAACACATCTATGATAATCGTTATTATTAAATACATAACGAAAAAATGCGGCGACGTTATTGTAAATGAACCCGAATCAAATATGTGCAATTTTTCATGTTGAGTTTTCTCTAAAAAAATATTAAGCGTGAAATTGTCTCATGCACACGTATTTGTTTGATCTAATTTCTATAACATCGTACCTAGAAAAGATTATGCATAGAAAAAGTGCATCGCACAGAATTTAAACGCGCGATAAAAAGATATTCAACCCGCAACTGCATATCCGGCGCGCGGGAACGAAGTTCATTCTTTGGTCAGCTGCGGAAACGCGCTTTGAATTTTACTACCGTTATTCGTGAAAAAATTGTTTTGGGTGTATTTATCAGTTTAAAAATTCCAAAATACGTAAATGTAGCTTTTCTTAAGTGCAAATGTGTAAGTACAAATTAAATTTTCACGGCACTTTTCGGTAATATGTAGAGGACCTCATTTTGCGGTTAATGCATTGAAATTTTTGGAAAATTATACTTCCAATAGATAAAACACTTCTTATAAAATGCATTTGCCTTTGAGAAAAATTTTTAAACTGCATAGAACCCACGACAAATTTAAAAATTCCAGGAGCGCAAAATTTTTGAACTTATTGTTTACCCTTCCCCTCTACCCCCACCACCCCTGGGTAACGTACCATACCATATCAACTCGTTTTGCATCTCTTTCGCTACTTACGGACGTACATCTTATTCTCTATCGACGTCCACCTTTACTTACTACACACGCTTTTCCATTATAATGCAACTCACTTTACATATCTACTTAACCCATTGCATTGTGCAAAGTTACACTTATGCAACTAATCACACTACGTTATGCACTTTTGGTTGCATACTTTTTCCAATGTCACATTTCTTTATTAGCAGGTGATGTGAACAATTTTTTTTTGTTCAATGTAAACGACAATTATCTTACAACCTTTTATTTATTAAAACTATCTTACAACAATTTAATTTATTACAACTATATATAGACTATTTCCTACCACAAAAATTAACAAAGCTTAAAATGTACCGCATGTCCCCTTCAATTTTTCTTTCCTCCATCCGGGACGCCTCCACTTGACGTTCCAATTGAGAGGTTTTGTCCTGCGTTTCTTGCAGTTGGATGGCATACTTCTGCAGCATTTTCTGCAGAAGTTGGTGCGCCTGGGAAGCAATCTCCCGCGCTGCAGGAATTGGAACCGCCGAAGTGGACGGCATCTCAGGTGTGTACCCCGCCTCCTGCCCTTGAATTTTCAACAGGGCTTCTAAATTTTTCTCGCCACATTTGCGCCTGTAACGATGAAACAAATTTTTAGTTATATTCGATTTCATTTTTTTTTAACAACTTACCGTCTCTTCGCACACACCCTGGGATCGACCGGTTCGTCTTCGGACTTTCCGGCCTGCTCTAGAGGTGGAAGAGGAGCTCGAAATTCTGGTGGTGGAGTGGGCGACTTCTGCTGCTCTGACAAATGTGGCGTTGGGACAACTCTACAAAGAAATAGGTGTGTTCTTGAAACATGTACTTTCCAACATTAATTATTATTATTATTATTATATCCCATTAAACATAAACATTTATACTAACCGTTCGCTGGAGTATAAATGGTCCGCAGCGTCACCTCCGTCTAATTGGGCCATCACTAATTCCACATCAAAATTCTCCCACAGGTTGGCAGGAGTTCTATAACAAATTATCATTGCTACATAAAATCAAGGGCACAATTAATGATACTTACTGGACTGTTGAATTATCCGAATGGATGGTGATGACACTACATTGGTCACCATCCATAAACGGCGCCGCCGGGAACGGTTTATTGTTACCGGGTACCACTTTTTTCGGCGAGTGGGGGAACAGATTATTATCGGTGCAAGTACTACTGTTCCCCACTTTGTTGCTTTCTAACATGTTCTGTAGAATGTTAGTTGGTGCCGGTTTTTTCAATGATAGTTTGGATTTACGTGACGACATTGTAATTGTGTTAATTCTGTTGCGCGACGACGATAGAACTGACAAACGGAAGGAAATTTCTACTATTACAAACTCTCTGTTATCGTTTGCAAAATACTAAAGAGGGATATATTTAATAAGTGAGAACAACACATCGTATGATTTCCGGAATCAAATAACTGCATTGTCAGCTTTTGAACACCTACTAGTTGCTTACAGTCTTGCGCAAAAGGTGACCTTGAACACTTTGTCTATATAAGGCGATAATTGCCCTTAATTTGGTTACTTACACCTTCACCTTTCCACTCGTGGAGATTTTCGAGAGTACGAGTTCAACACTATCAACACGCAAGGTGACTGTGGAGAGTTCAATCCGGCGTAAATTTTAACAGTCTTGAGTTAAAGTTACAGTAAGTACCTACTAATTACAATGGAGTCTACATCCCTGGCAAGACTTAGCAGTGATATAGTTAAGACAACCCGAAAAGCTGTTGCATTATTAAAACATCTGAATTTGTAAAGCACATTTCGATAATAAGGGAAAACATTTCTTTGCTACAAAATGCTATCGATAACAACATTCATTTAGATAGTCGTAGTGAAAATCCCATTACGCTAGAAAGTAATTTGGCTATATTGAGATACTATTTAGTTACATTACGCGAACAATTGAAAGATGTTTCGAGAAAAAGCGGTTGTGGAATAAGTCATACGCCTGCTCCTTCTACTAGTGATCGTAATTCGCCAGTCCTAATTTGGCAAACCTTAAATTCTTGCTTTCAAGGTAGATTACTTACTGGTATTATTGTAAATACCGGTTTCAAAGACCCTTTAATTTTCTTAGAGAAAGCATTCGGCAATGTTGTACGGAAAATTCGGCCCATGTTAAGGCAAAGTATGTTGAAAGTTAATGTGTCTCTTTCTTGTGACTTTGTAAACCCCAACAATCTTGACGTCAATATAAAAACTTTTGCCACAAAAAATTCGGTTCTTGACATTGGCACTAATCTCGGAGAGTGGTATCTAAGAGAGGTGTATCATCCATTGCAGACAAAGCTTGGGGGTTTCGAAGAATGTAATTCGGGGTGGGCGTTAAGGGAGGTTTTGTATTTAAAGGTAAACATAAATAAATATGTTCCCATTAGGGGGGGACGCTTTTCCACATATATTAATCTCCCTCGGTTTATAGCTTATAAGAGAGCCGTAGTGAATGTTAAAAATAACGATAAGTGTTGTTTCCTGTGGTCAATTGTCTCGGCTCTTTATCCGGCGCAATCGAATCCCAACCGAACTAGTAGCTATCCCCACTTCGATGCGGTTCTGAATCGTGGATCTATTCAATTCCCAATTAAAGTAACCGATATAAAGAAGTTTGAAAAGTTGAATAATCTCGCTATTAACTTATACTGCATAGAGAAGAGAAACGTACTGCCTTTCATGTTGAGTAGAAATCATGCAAATGGAGCCAACCCGATCAATTTGTTAGTCTTGTCATCCGAAAATGGCATTACTCGAACCGATAGTAATAGATCGTACCATTTTGCTTGGATAAAAAATCTCTCTCGCCTATTGTCGTCGCAACTATCAAATAGGGAGCATTCCAAATTTTTCTGTCACATATGCTTAAATCATTTCTCTTCGAAGCACATACTGGAAAAGCATACCGTCCGCTGCCATCAAATAAATAAATGTGCACTAAGATTGCCCGTTGAATCTGAAAAAATTGTGCAGTTTTCTCACTATTCGAATAAGGAAAAAGTACCGTTTGTGATTTATGCTGATATAGAAAGCATTTTGGTAAAGTGTGACAATTCTTGCGGTGTGGGGAAAAACACTAACCCATTTCAAAAGCATATACCTCATAGCATTGCGTTTTATTTCAAGTGTGCTTATGACGATTCACTCTCTAAGTTTTTTTTGTATCGGGGCCCGGATTGTGTAAAATGGTTTATTAGTCAGTTGCGTACCATTGCTATGTGGGCAAATACAAAGATTAACAACCCTTTGCCGATGGAAAAATTGAGTGCAGCTCAGCAGAATGATTTCGAGAACGCCACTCATTGCCACATATGTGAAAAGCCGTTTTTGGAAAATGAGATTCGTTGTCGCGATCACTGCCATCTCAGCTCAAAATATCGCGGCCCAGCGCACCAGCAATGCAATATAAACTACCAAGACAGTCACACAATCCCCGTGGTCTTTCATAATCTGAGTGGATACGATGCGCACTTCATTATCCGCGAACTTGCAACCGCTATACCTGGCCAAATAAAACTTTTACCTTTAAACAAAGAGAAGTATATTTCGTTTACGAAATATGTGGAAAATACCAGCATTAACTTTAGATTTATCGACTCCTTTAGGTTTATGAGCAGCAGTATAGAAAAACTCGCTTCGTACTTAGGAGACGACAAAAAAACTATAGCGAAATCGCAAAGTCGCAACGATGCCGAATTCAAATTGCTCATGCGAAAGGGTGTTTTTCCCTATGAGTATGTCGACTCGTGGGAAAAGTTAAATGAAACCCGATTACCGCCGAAAAATGAATTTTTCAGTTCGTTGCGTAACGACGGCGTGAATGACGAAGATTATGAGCATGCTTTAAATCTTTGGAACGTATTTTCTATTCAAACTCTCGGTCAATACTCGGATTTGTATTTGAAAACTGACGTGCTTCTTTTGGCAGACGTATTTGAAAATTTTCGCGCCACTTGTCTGAAAACCTACAAACTCGATCCTCTTCATTATTACACTGCGCCGGGCCTCGCTTTCGATGCCATGCTCAAAATTACAGAGATTAAATTGGAACTATTAACAGACATCGATCAAGTTATGTTCGTAGAGAAGGGTATTAGGGGTGGAATCACTCAATGTTCCACTAGATACGCGAAGGCGAACAACAAATACATGAATGACGACTATCGTCCTGACCTTGAATCGATTTATTTAATGTATTTTGATATTAACTCCCTTTACGGAGCTACAATGTGTGAAGCATTGCCTTATGGGGAGTTCTCTTTCGTAGACGATTTTGAATCGTTAGACATATTAAATCATCCCGATGATGCAGATATCGGTTACATTGTGGACTGTGATTTTGATTATCCGAAGGAATTACATGAGTCCCATAGCGACCTTCCTTTGGCCCCCGAACACATGTGTCCTCCCGGCTCTAGAATAAAGAAATTAATGCTTACTTTGTTCCCGAAACGCAACTACGTATTACACTACCGAAATTTAAAGCTTTACATTAAACATGGACTGAAACTTGTTAAAATTAACCGTGTGTTGCGTTTCAAACAATCGGCGTGGTTAAAAAAATATATCGAATTGAATACACGTATGAGAAAACAGTCTACAAACGATTTTGAAATAAATTTTTATAAGCTAATGGTAAATAGCGTTTTTGGAAAACTGATGGAAAATGTAAGAAAATATAAAGATGTTCGCTTGGTGACAAAGTGGGAAGGTCGCTATGGCGCTCGTGCGTATATTTCCAAGCCAAACTTCCATAGCTGCACTCTTTTCGATGATGACGATATCGCGATAATAGAAATGAATCGGTTGGAGGTATTTCTTAACAAACCAATTTATGCGGGGTTGACGGTTTTAGACGTATCGAAAACTTTCCTCTACGACTTTCACTACAATTATGTATTACGGGAATTCGGTGATCGCGCAAAACTCCTGTACACCGACACTGATAGTCTTGTATACTCTTTTGCAGTGCCGGACATATATCAATCAATCAAAGAGAACATTAATCGATTCGACACATCCAGTTATAACCCAAATAATCCCTTTGGTATACCTCCTGTCAATAAAAAAGTCCCCGGATTGATGAAAGACGAAAACAATGGAAAAATAATGTTAGAGTTCGTGGGTTTAAGGGCAAAAATGTACGCGTACCGAGTGGACGACAAGGTGTTAAAAAAATCAAAAGGTTCGACAGCCGCTAGTATTCGTGAAATAACTTTACAAGATTACAAACGTTGCTTGTTTAACGATGACATTGTAAAAAGGGATCAATATCTAATTAGGTCACAGAAGCATTCTGTGTTCACCATAAGGCAGAATAAGGTGGTTCTTAGTCCTCACGATGATAAACGTTCTATCAGTTTAAATTGTATCAATACGCGGCCTTGGGGCTATAATTTGGCCTAATCCGCATATTTCGCGACCTCGAAACATCTTTCAATTGAATGCCTATTTTTTCAGATTATGAGCAACAGTTGCGGAAATCGTTCGGATAAAAAAGTGCAATTGGAGCGAGAATTATTTCAATCGTCTCACATAATATATACAAAACATTTAAAGAGTGCTTTAATGGACATTTGGTCAATTGAAAATTATGTGATCATTAATCAAATATTGCAAAACATTGTAATACCCGACGAGTGCTTCAACTGGTGCATCAAATCGACAAACGTTTGTTGCAATAAACTAACATTTTTATTTGACAAGAAAGAAGAACTTGACTGTACAGTTAGGCACTTTGTAAACAGATTTAGCATTTTAAGTGAAATGTGTGTTAGTAATAATCTTGCATTGTTACCTGAAGTTCCTTTACACATCAGAATGTATATCCTGGATTTAGTTAAGGACGCTCAATTTAATGTAGATAGCATAGTGAAAAATTATAAGAATTTTTTGTGCATAATGGACGATGCCATGTGTACGGCCATAGAATATGCGAACGTCAAGGCTCTTGAAATGTTGTATGATATTTGTATAAAGCGAAATGTGCAGTACAGATTTAGGCCATACGAGGACGCTCGCCATAAAAAAGTCTATAACTGGATACTGGAGAACATTCGCAGAGGCAGCGAAGTTCCAAACGCATCGCTGGGATGGACATGCGGGCCAGATAGCGCATTTTGGCCCTCTACCCAATTAAGCGACTACAAAAGAACATTTACGCTCCTTAAAAAAATCATGAAAGATGAACCAAAGGGAAATGTGGTTGTTAAAAACTTTGTATGGTAAAAAATAAAACAGAATATAACAGTTTATTTTAGTTTTATTTGTAATAGTACATCATACATTAAATAAACTTATAAAACTACGTTATCTTTATCAATCCACGACCTCTCGTCTAATCCCCACCACTTTACGTACACCTTGTCTTTCTTACGTTTTAACACTTTTTCCACCAAATATACATCCGAATACTTGGCTTTTTGCAGTTCTTGTTCATAAAATCCTCCTAGTATCGATTTTCCTTTCATGTCTTCCAATAAATACGTCACCGGATTGGTTATTCGAACTTTTACAATTTTGAAGAGTTCACTGGACCAGTTTGGTGTGTATCCTTTCGCAAATATGGATTTAAATTTGCTAATTCGAACAACATCGCCAACATTAAAACGATATCTCTTGTTGAAGAGCTTGATGTGGTGGTAGGCGTACAGATGTGTGTCGCCCTTTACTTCGATCGGCTTCATCCCCGTTGTTCGATGTTTACGATTATTGTACTCGCTCGTGATTGATTCGATTGCATCAATCCATACATACTTTCCACGTAGACTAAACTGACGATACAAATAATTTTTGATCGTCCTAATTGTTCTTTCGGCTATGGCAGCTTTCTTTGTGCTGTACGTGGAATAGTGATTAATGCTTTTCTGCGCCATCAATTTGTTAAATGATTTGTTATAGAATTCCTTCCCGGCATCGGTTTGTAGATTTTTCGGTCTCCGTTTGGTAGTTTTGAAAATATCCTGTATGGCTTTTGTCACCTCCTCACCCGTTTTAGTCTTCAATCCTCTCGTCCACAGATATTTTGAAAAACAATCGATAACTACTAATATGTATTTGTAGCCTTTATTCTCTTTAGCGTAAGGTATAAATTCGGCTAAATCTGCTTGCCAAAGATCATCGAACCCTTTAATAACGGTGCGCCTACGTGGGAAGTTTTTGCGTGCCGCTTTATGTAGCTCGTTTACCACCTGCTGCATCCTCTATTACTTTATGCAAGGCTTCTTTGACCGCTTTCAACTCTTCCTTTAGTACTTCCACGTAATTGCGAAGACCATCTACAGGGGCTTTAGCGATCTGCATATAATATGTGAAGTATCCTTTATTTATGGCATCGCCGTCGTCTACTGGATCGGCCACATTCATCAACCGATTTCCGTTCAGATCCAGCCTTGTTGATAGGTAATGTTGTAAGGTTACAGCATCATGGCGCTCAATAGGATCCTCAACATTACTTAGTCTCTTACTTTTCACATTTATAGTATCGTCGGTAATGGAAAATTTTGTCTTGAGCAGTTTTCCAAATTGGGCATGGGTATGCGAACGTCCGAATTTATCCATGGCGAATGTAAGCAAAAAGACGGAATGGAGGTATTTATACTAGCTGACGTAAAAATCGTTGCGTGGGCTTTTGTATGTAACCCTCTTCGTATAGCTCTTCCACGATTGATATTATATCATTTCGTACTCCTGTGTTTCCTGCCATTTTTTCACCCCATAAAACCTCCAAATCCCTAATCAATTCATGCACGCTATTCCAGTATTTGTATTCGATCGGTCGGTCGAGTTCCTTGAATAGAGTAATACCGCTACCCGATTTCGCACGCCCCCTATTCGCCGCTTCCTCCTCCTTCAGTAGAGGCTTTATTATAAGCGTATACTTTTTGCTCTTATTGCCGCGAATCTGTTCGGTGGGATCGTAATTGCGTCGTGCGACATGAGTTGCTATTATTATCTGCTTATAGTTACTTCATCCGGTTCATTCATGATGATAAATTCGTATAGTCCTGCAGTACCTTTGTACCGGATCCCGTTAATGACCAAATCTTCGTCATCTATCGTCACCTCCGTCTTGCCCATTCTCCACTTATCCGTTTCGACATTATAATGAATTCCAAAGGTGGTATCAATTGCATTACTCGTATCTCTTATCATGCGCTCAACGTATATACGTGGTAGGTGTTTGTATTGTTCCAAAAAGGCTTGCGAACCTTGCATATCAAGTAATGAGGCAGATGATTCTGATGCGATAGAGGACTCTTCTTCTTCTTCCTCCGGTTGATGCTCGCCTATCACTGTACTCTGTAGAAATGATGGCGGCTGTCTCAATGATGGAGTAGCCGTGGGATGAAAAGGTCTAACCATAGGACTAATATCAGTTGGCGGATATTTTTGAAAGTATGGAAGTCTAGCCAGCGGACTGATCTCGGTAAGGGAAGAGGGCCTTCGTCTCACTCGCAAGTAATAAGGTATCGCAGGGGTCGTACGTTGTTGTGGTGACTTTCTTTTTGCAGGAGATTGAGGTTTTTTAGGAGGTGATGTAAATACTTCGTCCTCTGGCTCCTCCTTTTTCGTCTCAATAACCGATGATGATGATGACAGCGGTTCGATTTTCTTTACGATCTGGGAAAGCGGTTGAATTAGTGGTTTATACGTTCGTACAAACTCCACTTCTTTAATAAAACGATCCGTTTTGAGACGATTGTACTTTTGCTGTATCGCTTTACGAGCCTGAACTAT